GAGGGCACTTGGGTGCTCTCCCCTGCCGCCCACTGCCCATCGCCGCTGGGCCAGGCTCGCTGCTCTGTGCGGGCTGCCCGGAGAGGGGGCAGGTGACAGGGGCGATGTGCTGCCGGCCGCAAGGGTTACCCATGAGAGACGAGAGCCCCCCTGTAAGATTTGAAACTCAGAACCTGGGGGGGCTCCAATTTTATTAGGGCATCGTGATGGGCAGCCTTTTTTTTTTGCAGACCCCCCCACCCCAAGAGTCAGTGTAATTTGAACCCTAGTGCTGCCTCTTCTGGAAGCTCTGCAGCGGGCTGAACATTTCTGCTCAAATCTGTCTTTTAATGGAAACCTGAGTTGTCACCCCCCGCCCCCCTCCCAACTCACCCCTGCTTTTAATAGAAAAGAATGGATTTTTTTTTTGGCCAAACTATTTCAAGGAAACTTTTTTGGTTTGGGGTGGAAACCAAAAGCTTTCCACAGAAGCTGTTCCATTTGGGGCTGAAACCTTTCCATTTTAAGACAAAAAGCTTTAGCTTTTCAGACAAAACCTTTTGGGTTTTGACTTGATGGCAGAAAATCCCTGGTGTTTGAGCTTTTTTTGCCAGAGACTTTAAAAAGTCCAGGGAAAATGTTGATGGAAATGTAAGTTTGTCATGTTTAGAAACAGCTTTTGTCAGGGAAATTATGAGACCAGCTTTTGTTCTGTGCTCTTAGTGTACCGATAGGTGTACAGAAAACCCAGGCTCCCCTAGAAGCAACACTATTGCATCAGCTTGAACTTAGGACAAGTTTTTCAGCACAAACTTACTTGTGCCCACACACAAAAGTTCTTTTTTATTTTTCATTTAGCTGGTATTTTACCCCACTTAAATCAATCAGCTTTGGAAATGACATCACTGTTTCAGACATCACTATCCTGTGGATGCATCCTTATATTTCCCATTAATTGTACAGCTTCAGGTAATCCTCCCACTGCTATCCCATGTTGCATTGCTTCACAGCCAGAGGAGCCTTTCTCATTACTTGAATTTTCCTTCCACTGCACCAGAGTGGAAGGAAAGATCATCTTGACAGATGATCTCTCTAATAAAATTACAGTGCACAGCCAAGCACCCACCGTTGCAATTGCAGCTCATGGCAAGGGCTGTGGTCTATGTTCTTTATCAGCATTTACCTCTGCATGGCCCTTTCTTGAAGGCACACGTGTTCTTTGCTTTCTGGCATGTCCTGTCCCACCATAAGTAGAATCAATAGGATGTGAGCCTGGTCCCTCTCCCTTTAGCCACTAGAGAAATTTGATAAGCTAACTACCAAATTACATGCCTGTAACATCATCAGATCCACACATAACATGCTTTCAATGATACACAGGTCAGCTAATAATAATTTGAATTAGCCTTGTTCCTGAGGCTACCCTGTTACCATCACCACAAGCAAAGTACCACTGTGAATGGAGATCAATATTATAATATCCCCAGTGATGCAAACAGTCTTCTTTTGCAATCCCACAGTACACTATGTGGGCCCAGTGTATTACATCCTGCGCTCCACTGCACAGGAGGACAAGCTGGACAAAACCATTTAGTTCCAACGATAGCACTGCACACAATGTGGAACAATTGCATGGTGTTTTCACAGAGAATACCTTCCCTTTTCATAGTTTCCTCTGATTATATCAACAGTATTGGCTCTCAAAGACCAAGTCACAAGTGTGCTGCCAGCAGGCATGTGGCTGGTGGTAGTATTTGTATGTCAGTGGTCTCCAACCTTTTTAAGGTGCAGATCACTTTTTGAAGTAAAGTGCAATCCAGGATCTACTGTGGCCCCCCGCCACCCCCACTCCTTGCCCCCCTGCCCAGCAGGTCAATCTGCTGGGGGGCAGGGAGGGCAGATTGAGGCCCCCGTGGTGAGGGAGGGAGTGAGGCAAGGGTGAGTGGGGCACAGGTGGCTCATCCAGGCATGTGTGCGTGGTGGGGGGGTGTTCTGCCACTGCATGCATCCTGGCAAAGGCCCGGGGGTACATACCCCCTCGATCTGTGTGTGGGGCGAGGCGGCTGCTGCTGCATGCTGGGCTTTGCACCCTGGGCTTTGTGCCCCAAGCCCCGAGCTGTAGTGGGGCTTAGAGCACAAAGCCCAGCACTCAGTGGTAGCTACCATGCCCTGCGCACAGATTAGGGGGGCACATCTGGGGTGCATGCAGCGGTGGGAGCCCCTTTATGCACCTGGACAAGCCACCCATGCTCCAACCATCCCTTGGCTCATCCCAGCCTGGCCCCCATTCACCCAGTGGCAGGGGATATGGAGGAGTTTGTCTCACTCACCTGGCCTGGCCCCGGTGGCAGGGGGCATGACTTAGCCCAGCCATGTGCATCCCGCCACTCATATGTCCTGCCGCTCCCCACATGCATCACACTGCTGCTGCTCACACAGCCTCTGGCAGGCGATCCCAGTCTGGGGGGATAGCCCCCCCAGACTGAGATCAACTGTCAGGGGCTCCCCTATCAATCGGTCAATTGCGATAGAGTGGTTGGTGACTATTGGTGTAGGTGGAGGAGGAGATGCAGAGCCATCTGATTTGATCATAAGCAACTTTTTAATGCATGACTGTATGTTTGAGTGAATGGATGCAATGGGCAACCATCAGAAAAGCAAGCAGTGCCATGAGACATTTAAAAGGCTGAAAATCCTATAGAGTACAACCAGGGCAATAAAAATGGATCTGATCCCAGGGGTAAATCTTTCAGTGATGAGCTAAGCAGAATTCTCCTATGTTATAGAGGAGGTGCCACAGTACATGGTGACAAAGGGGCCCAACCAGAAGACACTGGCAATTTGGCTAGAATTACATAATCTTTCTGTGGAGTTTCAGGATCTAGAGGTAGCAGCTAGCTGTTTCAGCAAGACAAAGAATTTTTTTGTTTTTCCCTCTACACACAAAATGTTCTACTACAGTCTGATTTTTCAAGCTGAGTGGCTAGTGGAGAAGCTTTTGAATTCTTATGAACATTACTATTGTTTTTGTGAGAGAGCACACATGCTCTCACAGATTGTGGCTGGCCATTCATGGATACCAAAGGTTAGGCCTGCTCATTCCATCACCAACGTGGCTACGGGCTGGAGCTAGTATTCCACATTAGCACCAAGTATGACCAGGGACATAGAGAGGAGTCCTGGAGCTGTAACCAGCACTTTCAGAATCCCCTGGTGGAATTTTGACTGAGCTTGTCAGAATTTTTCACTCGGTGCCCACTGCAGTACTGCTCTTTCATGTACCAGTGGAGATCAAAGGGCATGGATACAAATACTACCTTCATAATGCACTAGTAAGTAGATGGACTTCTCTATTATATGCTCCCTGAACTATAGAATGGCTGAGGAATCTAGTCAAGAAGTAACAAAGGCATGGTGAGATCAGCATGAGAGAGAATCGGTTACTCAACCTTCTTACTAAGCATAGACGGAAAGGTGTCTTCAGCTACAAGCAATTATGGATCCAACCCATGGGGGTCTTCATGAAATATTGCAGCCTGTATTGTGTAGGCAATTAAAACAGATTATCATAACAATCAATTACAATTTATTAATCTAGGTTTGAAACCTGAATAACAAACCAATAGGCTTTAAGATATCAGTTAAGTTTCTGCCTACCCCAAAGTCATGACTGAGGTTTGTGACAAGCTCCGCATTTATCCCTCCTGTTTCTCATGCCAATATTAATGGACAACTGACCTGAGGTTTGGAAATGCAGTCTTTTCAAGTTCATGAGACCCTTTCCCCTGTGGGAAGAAAACCTGACATCACTGATAACTGACTCCTGCTGCTCAAGGAGTTGTATAACAACTGTGATGTTCTCAAATGTAGAAGGAAGACATTTTTTTT